CTACTAGCTGTTTGTATAATCACAGTATAGGTTTGGAAAAAAATGAAGACAGATATAGAATTTGTTGTCTTGTAAATCTTTTAATTGAGATAAGGGAAATCAATGTTAGGGGCAGTATGTTGCTGTTAAAGGTATTTTCACATACCAGTCAACTACCTTTATCAAAGCATACACAAATGAAGCTTCATTCTACCTGGGATTAGTTTATCCTGCATCTCTAAACAATGGAAAGCAGCTCCACTTACCTGTCACTGTCACCTGACTAGTGATATTCTTTTCTAAATACAGCATATTGCCTAGTGATTATGGGATCCAGCTTGTGTTTGAGATGCATCTGCAAGCCTGAGCTTAAATCAACAACTGAATGATTTCTCTGTGATGTACTGTATGTAAAAAGCCTGTAACATCATTAATAATCTCCTCCTCTCAACAGGCCGAGGCAGCGACTCAGAGTCTGACGGTACCCCCCACAGGAAGATGCCAGACGTTCGTAAGGATGACATGTCGGCGCGGCGGACTTCCCTCAGTGAGCCACGCATCTCCGTGCCCTTCAACCAGTACCTACCCAACAAGAGCAACCAAAGTGGATATTTACCCCTGCCACTGCGCAAGAAGGGGAACAATAAAGAGGAGGGAGGGTGCAAGAGTTGGAGCACCGCCACCTCACCTGTAGGGGGCGACAGACCTTTTAGGTAAGTGATTGTGATAGTTCTGAAGTCGACAAAAGCAACATAAAGCTTTCGTAGACTGCTTTGGTTATTCAGAAGTGATCTTTAGATATTTAAAAGAAACTCCAAATATTACAATAAATGTATTTTGTTATCAGAAGCTCAAATCCTGTTTTGTTTAAATATACCTATAACATTTTAATATTTAATGACTGAGTGATAGTGCGGGTGGGTTTGTGTACTTCAGGTATTATGATGGATTTGAAGATTATTCAACTCAACAGCGCTGAGCCAACCAACATCTTGGATAGTTCTGGTGGTCGGGAGGGGGAGGAATGTAATAGTAAACTTGTTTGGGGGCAGGTTTTACTAACATAATCTTGTTTCCGACTAAAATCGATTTAGTTATAGCTAAACCTTTTACAGTTTGTTATGAAGAGAATTCCATATATGTCTTTTCCATTTAAACACAGTTAATTAAACACATTTTTACATTTTCTGCTGGCAAAGTGGATTTCAGAGTATGCTTTGATCATTTTGTTCAGTGCAGTACTGTTTGTGTTGTGGCTCCCAGTGTGTGCTGCTAACATCCATTTCCCCTGTTGCTTAACTCTCCCATCATGTTACATAACTGTACGGCGAAGCACATGTTT